TTTGTGCATTATTTTCAATTAACCATCTCTGCTAATTACTTTAACTAGAGATTACCCCACACGAATGACTAACTCTTAATTACCTCCTATTAAATGCCTCTCATTAATAAATAGTATCCGAATGACTATATATATATATATATATATATATATATATATATATATATATATATATCTTTCTTTCAACACATCGGCCGTATCCCACCGAGGCGGGGTGGCCCAAAAGGAAAAACGAAGTTTCTCCTTTTACATTTAGTAATATATACAGGAGAAGAGGTTACTAGCCCCTTGCTCCCGGCATTTTAGTTGCCTCCTACAACACGCATGGCTTACGGAGGAAGAATTCTGTTCCACTTCCCCATGGAGGTAAGAGAAAATAAACAAGAACAAGAACTAGTAAGAAAATATTAGAAAACCCAGAGGGGTGTGTATATATATGCTTGTACATGTATGTGTAGTGTGACCTAAGTGTAAGTAGAAGTAGCAAGACATACCTGAAATCTTGCATGTTTATGAGACAGAAAAATGGACACCAGCAATCCTACCATCATGTAAAACAATTACAGGCTTTTGTTGTACACTCACTTGGCAGGACGGTAGTACCTCCCTGGGCGGTTGCTGTCTACCAACCTACTACCTATATATATATATATATATATATATATATATATATATATATATATATATATATATAATATATATATATATATATATATTTTTTTTTTTTATTATCACACCGGCCGATTCCCACCAAGGCAGGGTGGCCCGAAAAAGAAAAACTTTCACCATCATTCACTCCATCACTGTCTTGCCAGAAGGGTGCTTTACACTACAGTTTTTAAACTGCAACATTAACACCCCTCCTTCAGAGTGCAGGCACTGTACTTCCCATCTCCAGGACTCAAGTCCGGCCTGCCGGTTTCCCTGAATCCCTTCATAAATGTTACTTTGCTCACACTCCAACAGCACGTCAAGTATTAAAAACCATTTGTCTCCATTCACTCCTATCAAACACGCTCACGCATGCCTGCTGGAAGTCCAAGCCCCTCGCACACAAAACCTCCTTTACCCCCTCCCTCCAACCCTTCCTAGGCGACCCCTACCCCGCCTTCCTTCCACTACAGACTGATACACTCTTGAAGTCATTCTGTTTCGCTCCATTCTCTCTACATGTCCGAACCACCTCAACAACCCTTCCTCAGCCCTCTGGACAACAGTTTTGGTAATCCCACACCTCCTCCTAACTTCCAAACTACGAATTCTCTGCATTATATTCACACCACACATTGCCTCAGACATGACATCTCCACTGCCTCCAGCCTTCTCCTCGCTGCAACATTCATCACCCACGCTTCACACCCATATAAGAGCGTTGGTAAAACTATACTCTCATACATTCCCCTCTTTGCCTCCAAGGACAAAGTTCTTTGTCTCCACAGACTCCTAAGTGCACCACTCACTCTTTTTCCCTCATCAATTCTATGATTCACCTCATCTTTCATAGACCCATCCGCTGACACGTCCACTCCCAAATATCTGAATACGTTCACCTCCTCCATACTCTCTCCCTCCAATCTGATATTCAATCTTTCATCACCTAATCTTTTTGTTATCCTCATAACCTTACTCTTTCCTGTATTCACCTTTAATTTTCTTCTTTTGCACACCCTACCAAATTCATCCACCAATCTCTGCAACTTCTCTTCAGAATCTCCCAAGAGCACAGTGTCATCAGCAAAGAGCAGCTGTGACAACTCCCACTTTGTGTGTGATTCTTTATCTTTTAACTCCACGCCTCTTGCCAAGACCCTCGCATTTACTTCTCTTACAACCCCATCTATAAATATATTAAACAACCACGGTGACATCACACATCCTTGTCTAAGGCCTACTTTTTACTGGGAAAAAATTTCCCTCTTTCCTACATACTCTAACTTGAGCCTCACTATCCTCGTAAAAACTCTTCACTGCTTTCAGTAACCTACCTCCTACACCATACACTTGCAACATCTGCCACATTGCCCCCCTATCCACCCTGTCATACGCCTTTTCCAAATCCATAAATGCCACAAAGACCTCTTTAGCCTTATCTAAATACTGTTCACTTATATGTTTCACTGTAAACACCTGGTCCACACACCCCCTACCTTTCCTAAAGCCTCCTTGTTCATCTGCTATCCTATTCTCCGTCTTACTCTTAATTCTTTCAATTATAACTCTACCATACACTTTACCAGGTACACTCAACAGACTTATCCCCCTATAATTTTTGCACTCTCTTTTATCCCCTTTGCCTTTATACAAAGGAACTATGCATGCTCTCTGCCAATCCCTAGGTACCTTACCCTCTTCCATACATTTATTAAATAATTGCACCAACCACTCCAAAACTACATCCCCACCTGCTTTTAACATTTCTATCTTTATCCCATCAATCCCGGCTGCCTTACCCCCTTTCATTTTACCTACTGCCTCACGAACTTCCCCACACTCACAACTGGCTCTTCCTCACTCCTACAAGATGTTATTCCTCCTTGCCCTATACACGAAATCACAGCTTCCCTATCTTCATCAACATTTAACAATTCCTCAAAATATTCCTTCCATCTTCCCAATACCTCTAACTCTCCATTTAATAACTCTCCTCTCCTATTTTTAACAGACAAATCCATTTGTTCTCTAGGCTTTCTTAACTTGTTAATCTCACTCCAAAACTTTTTCTTATTTTCAACAAAATTTGTTGATAACATCTCACCCACTCTCTCATTTGCTCTCTTTTTACATTGCTTCACCACTCTCTTAACTTCTCTCTTTTTCTCCATATACTCTTCCCTCCTTGCATCACTTCTACTTTGTAAAAATTTCTCATATGCTAACTTTTTCTCCCTTACTACTCTCTTTACATCATCATTCCACCAATCGCTCCTCTTCCCTCCTGCACCCACTTTCCTGTAACCACAAACTTCTGCTGAACACTCTAACACTACATTTTTAAACCTACCCCATACCTCTTCGACCCCATTGCCTATGCTCTCATTAGCCCATCTATCCTCCAATAGCTGTTTATATCTTACCCTAACTGCCTCCTCTTTATATATATATATATATATATATATATATATATATATATAATGTGTGTGTGTGTTTATGTAGAGGTGAAAGGTGACTACGTAGAAACGATGGTACACTCGACTAGCCACAGTGACATCACAAGAACTAGCGTTTACCCTCCACCACTATAATTGCTATCAATATATCTTCCAGCACCGCTGTCATCATTATCATCATCATCTCCCGACACCACGGTGTTAGGTGTTACGCTTATCACCCACCCGCAGTTATAGCAAAAATTATTGTATGCTTGGCTTGTCTGGTAAAATAATCATTGCTGAACACTTAAGTCGGAGGTCAGGTTGTAGTAGCAAGTTTATTAAGACAAAAATATTATTCAGAGGGTTGAAAGTAGTTAAAGCAATTTACAGGTCAAGGTATTTCAAAGTTACCTGGTATTATGTTGGGTCGTTTCAAGCAGTGATGAAGCTACCTTGCCTACATTAGTCCAGCTGACAAGGCTGATCCATAGATTTATTTTCTAGCTGAGCTGTTACCCTCCAAACAGGGTGATCCAAGAAAGAAAACATTGAACATCACTTATTCTTTAACTGTCTTTTCCAGTTAAATAATGAGTGATCTAATACTCAGTGAATTTGCAACATATAGCTTAATGTTGCAGCACAGTATGGAAACAATATTGCAACATAGCTTAGTGCTATAACAGATAGATTAGTATCGCAAAATATGGCTTAATATTATCCATCTCAGTTTGACAATAGTTATAAAATATCTCCTGCAATATAGATAGATCTATTGGTAGTCTTCTGGGTACTACTACTCATAACCAGTCAATAAACACCAATTTATATAAATGTCAATTATTCGGACAATATACACTCTAGATAAACATTACCCTGTAGATAAATATTATAATCTCCGACAGAACTCAGTAGATATACGTTGTTGTGTTTTTTAAATTCAGGGTTTATACACAGTAACCTCTCTTATACAGTGTGATTTTTGTAAATGCGACTGCATCCAAAATAAAATATCGATGCACTATGAAGACATAAGATTTACTACTAGTTTTCTGTGGGAGCTATCTGGGGTAGGGCAGCTGATGTTAACCCTCTGAATGGTTTCCTGCATCGTGTGCATGTTTCCAGCCGTACTGTAGATGTTAAACAATGCCCTCTGGTACAATGAAGAGTATTATGATCAGGGAGAAGCGCTGAAACCGTAGGGGCTATACAACGCCCTGGAAGTGGGAGGCAATCTGGCTCGGCGGAAGATGTCAAATACTTGAATTTGCGCCTCCGTCCTCAGCGGGATCATGGCACCTTCCTTGAGGTGGACAGTAAAGATAATTTTTATTAAGTATACACTTCCTGTTCTTCATGATACTCCGTAATGATAGTCGTAATTATTTATTTAATGGTTGATTATGAGTGTAGATGTGAGTTTTGGGGCTAAATAGTTTGGCCTATTGTGCAAGTGGTGAAGCAACACACGGTCTCGAGAAAATAGCTGGAGGATTACCGACAAACATGAAGGCAAAGACACAGGTTGCAACGCAAGCTTTTATTGGGACGACGTTTTACTATGTGTAGAGCTGCTGATAAACCTCTATACAGAGCGAAGTTGTCTCTCAGTAAAAGCCTGCTCTGTAACTTGTGTTTGTCTCCATGCGGTGTCCGTGTTGTACACGGGTTCCCATAGCATCCGGGGCTGGGTAAGGCGTAAGCTTACTTGAGACAACCGTCTTAATGTGGAGACTAAAACCGAATGTCAGGTAGACATGACCACATATGTTGTTCCCAGTTTGAAAATCATGATAACTGGAGTTTTCATTATATATATATATATATATATATATATATATATATATATATATATATATATATATATTATATATATATATATATATATATATATATATAGAGAGAGAGAGAGAGAGAGAGGGAGAGAGAGAGAGTATTTTCTGCAGAAAGATATTAAAATGAAATAAATTAGTTTTGTTCGTTTCAAACTCAAACAGGAATATGATTTCAATCTCCATTCTAATGTATAACATGATTCATGTTAGAAATATTTCCACTCATGACGTGACTTAGAGAAACTGGTTTCAGGTTTCATTCTTCTGTTTCATCTTCACGTGTTTTCTGGAGTACAAGTGGACCTGGGGGAGGAAAGGAGGGAGGTGAAGGATACCAAAATAGCTTCTCTAAGGGCATTCAAGGGCGGGGAGGAGTGAAAACCTTAGACGTTTTCGAATGAACTGGCCGGTCATGGAACACCACCCACTGCTTGGACCACCACCTACACTGTCTTCACGGAGGACAAATTAACTCTTTATTTACGCCATTCACAGACTTATGAGTTCTATATTTTGAAAGCATATAAAACTGTAGCTAGTGGAAAATATGGTGAAGATGTGCTGAAGTGGGGCTGTCATTGTGGGTCGAGTTGCCAGGCCGTCCAGGCTACACCTACACATAGGAACATAGAACAGAGACATCATGACCTCTGCGACGCCTTGTGACCCGACCTCGCCAGGAGGGCACACTCCTCGCTCTTCCACTTGTTGTTTAAGACTCTGAAGAGGATGGAGAACATTAAGAAACTGGGAGGGCACTGACTGATTTTGCTTCCACATTCTTAAAGCCTCTTTTTTATTTCTAAGCGGTAGTCACTTTTAGTATTTTAATGTCTTAATCGAAAGATGCCACCAGGAATTTGCACTAGGAAGCATGTGGTCAACCCAAGAGGACCCTGTGTTTACCCCTGACACAGCAGCGAGTGTGATAATTCCCACGCTATGTAACGTCTATATACTGCCTTGTTTCCAGTCAACTTTGTGTCTGGCAGCTCCAACAGTTCAGCGCCGACATTCGCCACTATAAAACGCAACACTATAAACTCCCATCTACCATAAAACACAAACCACTTCAGGGCTTCAGTTCCATCCACTCCCAGCTCTCATTAAACATTTACTGCCTATTTTATGATGTAGCGGATAGCAGCGAGGATGTTTCCAAAGTTTGGCTGCACACTTGGTGTGTAAACCCATCTTTTTTTTTTTAACCTCCCTTACGAGGACACTGCCATGCAGAATTACAGCACTGTCTTGCACAATGTTATTTTTAAGGTTGAGGCTGCAAGTACCGAGGGAGGAGGAGGAAGAGGAGATTGGGTAACCGCAGGTACTAGAGAGATCCACTTTGATGGTTTTAGAACGTCACACGGGAGTGCCACATTAGGGCCACGAGCATCACACGGGAGTGCCACATTAGGGCCACGAGCGTCACACGGGAGTGCCACATTAGGGCCACGAGCGTCACACGGGAGTGCCACATTAGGGTCACGAGCGTCACACGGGAGTGCCACACCAGGGCCACGAGCGTCACACGGGAGTGCCACACCAGGGCCACGAGCGTCACACGGGAGTGCCACACACCTTGGTCTAGAGTACTGGCAATAGATCAAACATATACGCCAATGTGACCATTTCTCAAGCCTTTAGTTAACACACAAGTTAGGACATTTTAGTTAAGTGCCATCGCGTCTCCCTATTTTTTTGAACATTCCACCAGGGCGGAGTAGGAGGGGGAGGGGGAGTAGGAGATGGGGGAATAGGAGGTAGGGGAGTGGGGTCGCGGTGGGGGTGTTGGGGAGGGTCGCCTGGACGACGCGGGCGGCCCCTTGTGTCCTGGAAGGTAGCGTGAGAGGAGCGGCATTATCCCTCCTGTGAGACCTCCGGTGAGGCCCCCGGAGAGGCCCCCGGTGATGCCTCCGGTGACGTCGCAGCCGACCACCTCACACGGTCTCTGGCGTCATCAGAGGTCAGCTTCATGTCACCAAACCAGACCCTCATTCACTTGATGATCGAAGTTACCGCTCTGACCTGTGAGAAAGAAGACTGTTAGGTGGGACTAAAGGAGCACTGATCACGGGTCTACCGGCCCATGTTGATGACTCAGACATTTGCGCAACACTTGGGTATCGTTACTGGCGAAATGTATCGTCTGCATAACAGGCTTTCTAGTTCATAATCACCGTCTCTCAAATCTGAGGGACTGATTGCCTTAAAATTTCCACTCGAGTTGTATTGTCTCCAGCAGTGGAGAAAGATACAAAATGCAATCTCTAGGACTGCATTATTATTTATTATCTTTGTTATTATTACCCTGTTTTATCTATTATTTTATATGGAGTGATAAATCCGTAGGGGTCATGTAGCGCCTAGGGAATGGTAGACATGTATGTTTCATCCAAGGAACGGGAAGGTAGCTCTAATTCCTTAGATCAAGGGCCCTCCAGCAGCATCAAAACCATTCCTTGAAGGGACGCTGCCTGTTCAGAAGACGTTGCGAAAACAGACAGACCCTTAAATGGGGCCCTTTGATGCTGGTGCAGGGCTCTTGATCTAAGAAAATGGAGCTACCCTTCCCCTTAAATGAAACCTAATTACTCCCCATTATCCAGGTGATGTACGATCCTTATGGGTATAACAATAGCCTATGAAAGTAATAATAAGAGAGTAGTACATAAACTAGATGTATTAATGTTGATAGTGAAAATGTTCAATGTTGTTACAGATGAGAGAGAAGCATGCACGAGTAACGAGACTACCTCTACTGACCACCATGCGCCATGATCATGCCGTCAGGGGAGGATCTCTGCGATAGCGAAAGCATATCAGGGGGCTGAGTCATGAAGTGCCCCGCCTCGGAGACAGGGGGAGCCCCAAGCCCACCCAGCCCTGGGAAGTCACTCATTGGTCCCCCAGGGGGCAGTGGCTGCTCCATGGAGGGCGGCAGACCTGTAAAACACCAGCAGGTCACTACTAGATTATACGGTGATGTGAGAGGATACAACACATCACAAAGTGAGGAGGCAGGACAAACTGGTGTTAAATAAGATTCATATATATTGTTAACATATTTTATTGAGGAAACATTTCGCCACGAATGGTTTCTTCAGTCATAGCGAGATAAGGATAATATATTTGACAGGAACAAAGTCCTGACACGGAATTTTGCCAGATAGTGGCCCGTTACTGGCTCTTGAAGGAGTCCCCTCAAGGAAGGTTCCTTGATGTTGGTGAGGGGTTCTTGATTTAGGGAATTGGATCTGTGCTCCAGTTCCCCGAATTAAGCCTGAATGCCTTCCACATCCCCCCCCCAGGCGCTGTATAATCCTCCGGGTTTAGCGCTTCCCTCTTGATTATAATAACAATCTTGAAGGAGTGTCGGAATTTGACAAGTGGGGTACCGTTTACGGCCTCATGGCAGGGGCGCCCCAATGGTGAGGGGGGGGGGGGTGAGCCTTGTGAGTTTTCTTCAGTACAAGTGGTGTAGCAGTTAGCTACAATCTGCACAGACGCCCTATGGCGAGGGCACAAAGCGTCGTCTTCGTTTCAAGTGTGTACGATGGTGCGAGTTATGCCAAAATCAACAAATTCGTCTTGCTACCTTCCTTACCCAGAGGGAGCTTGTAGGTACTAGTGCAGCAGGAGTCACCGTTGCATCTCTGGTGTTTGAGGTGAGGTGTTATCGTTAGTATGAGGCTCATAACCTCACCCGAACTCGACTCAATTGGAGCCAAGGCCTCCCTCACGGCGCCTGGGCCACAGCCCAGATCGCTGTGTCTTGGCGGTAAAGAATTAGCTCAATCTAAACTTGCAAAATAATAAATAAGTCTGGCAGTTTTATTATTTAAGAAGTTTCGGCAAAATTAATTCACCGCCACCAAGACAGTGATGGACTAGAAGCTGGTGCCTCACGAAATCGTAATGACACGATTGCAAACAAACCATACCACGGGCGGGATTTGAACCCGCGGTCAGAGTCTCAAAATTCCAGACCGTCGCGTTAGCCACTGGTGTTTTGGAGCACTGCAGTGGGCATACTGACACATGAGAAATGGTCTGGTGATACCGAGAAAGTGTGGGAAAAAACACGTATGTATAGTTCAGGACTTTTGTTAAAGGAAACGTTTCGCCACGAGTGGTTTCTTCAGTCCTAATACAGAGATAACTAAGAAACGAATTTATGTAGTGGCAGAAGTCAGGTGGAAAGCTGCGGCTGCGAGGGTAGTACTACTACTATTACTATTATCCCACCACCACTACTACAACTACTACTAGCGCGACTTTCCAGCTGATTCCTGCCGTTATATAAACTCGTTTCTTAGAACATAAGAATGCAGGAATACTGCAGCAGGCCTACTGGCTCACACTAGGTAGTTACCTCTGTATTAGGACTGAAGAAGCCACTTCGGGCGAAACGTTTCTTAAAATAAATCAACCGAACTGTATGTAGGTGTTTTTTCCACACAATGACATGTCTGGCAAGTACATCTCCAACCTTTGCAGTTTACACTGATCCCGCTCCGTTTTTACCCCTCGTTGCAAATGCTCTTGCCTATTTTTTCTCCATATAAACTCTGCCTGTGGCAGAAAAGAGCATTGTTGGTGTCGGCAAGGCTAACACATCTTTTGTGTTCTTTAAGTAAGGGAATGGCCAGTTTTACCAAAGTATCGGGAAGTGGCTGCTCTCTCTCTGACAAACTTGGTAGAACTCTTTTTGTAGTTATCTCTGTAGAGGTGAAGTAGCCATTTGTGGCAAACACTGTACATGTTTGAACATTAAAATGGTATAAAATACCGACAGGTTGTTAGGTAAGACACATATGCAACAGTTAGGTATCTTTATTATGAAACGTTTCGCCTACACAGTAGGCTTCTTCAGTCAAGTACAGAAAAGTTGATAGAAGCAGAAGATACTTGAAGACGATGTAATCAGTCCATCACCCTTAAAGTTTTGAGGTGGTCAGTCCCTCAGTCTGGAGAAGAGCATTGTTCCATATTGTTTCATACTATGGAACAATGCTCTTCTCCAGACTGAGGGACTGACCACCTCAAAACTTTAAGGGTGATGGACTGATTACATCGTCTTCAAGTATCTTCTGCTTCTATCAACTTTTCTGTACTTGACTGAAGAAGCCTACTTTGTAGGCGAAACGTTTCATAATAAAGATACCTAACTGTTGCATATGTGTCTTACCTAACAAACTGTACATGTTTACCTGGAGTTTACCTGGAGAGAGTTCCGCCTCTTACCCAGGTCAACCAGGCTACACAGAATATGCAATAAGGTCACAAGAAACAGGTAATATCTTAATATCACTACAGTGAAAATTGGTATTATTTTAAATGCTTTCGTAATCTCTCACATCATCAAGGAACAGTGTTAGTGTGTGAGATCACGAAAAGTGCATTAGTAAAAACACATAACCAGGTCACATATGTATAAAATTAAAATATGTATTAAGTCACATAGTGAGGTTGGTAACCTCAGCATGTGACTATGTATTATTGTGGGACCATACAACCACTGGGTAAAGGCAGGCAATCAACCAAATTTGATCTAAGGAAAAGGAACAGGAATTGCTTGGATTAAAGCCCTTCATCTAGTCATTCTTCGGGCAGATTTTTTAATTTACTCAGATTTCTGTGTTCGTGTATGTGTGTGTTTATCTACCTCTTTCATTCTATTTTTCTCTCATTCTTTCATTCCACTATTGTTTATTACTTTTTTTTGCCTCAGACTTTCAGACTTTTTTTTCTCACTTTTCCCCTCGCTCATTATCTCACCTTAACTCTATTTCTCTGACCGTTTTCCTTAACTCATTCTATCTTCCATACAGTCATTCCATATATTATTCTCTCATTCCAGCACACCTTCCCCAGCCACTGACCGTGTGGGAAGCTCATGCCTGGGGGTGGCGGGGGACCCTGGCCGGGGAAGAAGTCATGGAAGCCCTGGGGACCGTAGCCGAAGGCGTCACCGTAGTAGGGGAAGCCATCCTCCATGCTGGGGGACATGCGCATACCCCGAAGCTTGCGCGGGTTCCCGAACAAATGCGCCCGCATGCCCATAGAGGACAGCTGCTTCATGCGTCGCTCCTTACTTCTCTTGTTCTGAAACCACAC